CGTTTTAAAACGAAATATAAGTTTTGTGTGTAACAACCTGCAACACAGATTGTAACTTTTCCCATCATGCACTTCGCCAATTCATTATCAAATGAGGCTGAATCGTTCATAAATTTCTTTGGAAATCTTCGCCGGAATAATCATCAACAAACGACAATAATTTCAGAAAACCGGTAAGTAGTATAGGCATCTAACCTAGTCCTGTTTTAAAAATTATTAATTTTCTTTTGCTCAAAGCTAAAAATTCGACCCACTTTAAAATTAAATGTTATAATTAGGAAAAAAAAGTACAACTAACCCATCTGAAACGGAAGCTTTGTGTGTAGCACCCTTGTACATCTTCCACCCATCACTTTCATAGCTATAGAAACTCCTCCGAATCTTCCCGACTTTGATCCACTTTCCTCGCGCCTGGGCCGATCTAGTTACCCATGCCCGGTGCACTTGTTCGGCACGCGCCACGAAGAATAAGAAGACGACGACTCAATTTCGTATAGCGCACTTGAAATGATCAGTCACTATAAGATCCGGTTACGCGCGATCTTCCCAAATCAAGTTCTTCGCAACGATGCTGCGAACGGCCAACTGAAGATCACCGAAAGGTGGTTCGATGTTAAATCAAAGAAGTGGAAGTAGCGAGTAACGGCAGAAAGGCTGACGTTTTCTGCGAGTGTCGTCGGTGAGTGTCAGTGTTAAGGCTGTTGATGCTGGGAGTACTATGGGTGGTGAGGGTCAAGTGCACGCTCGAGGTTTGTTTTGCGGAAAAAGTCAATGATTGTTAGTTGAAAAGGGCGTTTTGTTTGAATGTAATAGAGAACTGATTGATTTTGAGTTTATAATTATAGTTACATAAGGGCAAAGTTGTCTCTTTTGTTCTTGTTTACAAAAAAAAAAAAAACTTATATGAGAGATTGATGTAAAAGAATATACTCTTGAATATTTCAACAATATCATGTTTGCAGATTTTGAAAAGGTGAGTTGACCCACTCTATAGGCTCTTATCACAGTAAATGTCAGTAACTATGAGCAAACGAGCAAAGACAGCTTGATAGAAGTCAAATCCATTGATAAGTAGGTATATTTTGAGCAAAACCACGTTGTCAATTTTTCTGCTAAGCTTACTTCAAGTGATCAGTTCTTAGCACCAAAATATAAATCAAATCAAACATTATACTACGTAAGCTTTGGTCAAGATTAATTCCTCCGCCCTCTTTCTAAACCTCCCGTATGAACGTGAAGATGGTAGAAAATTGAAGGCTTTTTTAGCAAGTTAAACAAGGTGCTTCTGGGAATTGGCAGTGGAATACTATTAGCTTACCTAGTGGAATAGTGCCTTGCCAGAGAAAGTTGGTCATAGTATTTCTATAGACCAGGCAAACACTTTCGAGTATAGATAAGCTTGGCACAGTCAAAATTCTATGAGAAATGAAACTAGGTTTGCAAGATTCTGGGAAGGGAGCTCTCAGCATAAACCTAAGGGCTCTTTTTGTAAAATAAATATGGAGTTGGTAGTAGTACTGCAAAAGCCCCAAAATGCAATTCCATAAGTAATGTGTGACTTCACCAGAGAGAAATGTGCAGTCCTGAGAGCTCGCTGCTCCAATTGCTCTGAGAGTACTCTGAACATAACAGCTAGATAATAAAACCTACTAAGAGAATGTCACAAGTCACGAGTCACACAAAACACAACTGCTGAAAGGAGTTTCTCATTTGTACTCAAATAGATATCTTCAAGAAGGGAAGAAAGGCCAAATTGATTATCAGAGCGAGACCTCTTTAGATTGAGGAATGAACTCTAATTTTCACCAGTTTCTCAATCAGCTTACTAAGTGAAGAAAGAAGAGAGAGAGTCCTAGTCTCCTCCTTTGTGAAGAAGTGCAACCATTGCATGCTTAAGGATAAAAGGGTGTATACCTACCTTTGTCAAAGGAATCATTTATTGAATCTCTAAGAGCTCGAAAACCCCTATCGTTAAGTTGGAGCAATAGTTTGATGGATATGTCATCATAGCCCGAAGAATTTTTGTTTTTGAAGGTTATAACAGGGTTTTTTTTTTTATCTCAGGAACATCGACTGGTGCCGAGGAGAAGGAATTTTAGACATTCTTGTCTGTCAAATAGTTCAAAGGATATGAAATATGAAAAAGACCCTCCTCACGTCACAGGGCTGATGCAAAGTACTTGGTCCACGGACGCCATACCCACTATTCGTAACAGCGGTAGGCGTTGGAATTTGCAGAATAGCTTCTACCTTTCTAGGATCGACCAGTAGACCTGCAGATGTGACGACATGACCGAGATATTTAAGTTCCGATTTGCAAAACTGGCATTTATCTTGATTGAGAGTGAGACCCGCATCAAAAATTCGGTTGATGACCTGACATAGGACCCGCAAATGATCGTCAAAACTAGCTGTACAGATGATGACGTCATCAACATAAACGAAAACATGCTGCTCAAGATCCACTCCAACAACCTGATCAATGAGTCTCTGCCACACAGCCGGAGCATTAGTTAGCTCAAAAGGCATACGCTTAAATTGGTAGAGACCACGGGAAGGCACAGTGAAAGCTGTTAACGGACGATACTCTGGAGCTCTAGGGATTTGCTAATAGGCGGACTTTATGTCCAAGGTACTGATGAACTTGGCATCACGAGGGCATCACATAGGGGATTGGATAGGCATGATGCAACATATTATACAGATATGCTTGTACTTGCTGAATTATTGACCGGGATGTGAAAACTATCAATAGCTACAGCAATCTATGAAAAGGTAGATAAGAATCTTGCAAGACTGAGTACGGACACCAGAAAGTCTGATCTACAATGTGTTACAGGAGTGAAAATTTCTTCCAAAAAATAACACCATTTCCAAATGTCATCATGGTTTTCTACCAGAAAGAAATATTGAATCTTTATTTGCCCAAACCTTGGATCCTGGCGAAATCAGAAAGATATTCAACCCAAAACCAACAACCAGAAAAATGAAGCAGTCATCAGCATTAATTATTAATTTCCTGACAAATCAATTTGACCATGATAAGTGACAATAGAAAAGAAGAACTTCAAAACAAAAATATTAAGTGAGAAGTGAAATTTGTTAAAAACATTTTCCAAAGAATTGAACCAAAATTGAAAATTAAAGCAGACTAATCTAAAATTAGAATAATCTCACTATACTAATGATCGCCTACTAACACACCTAAATATTTGTTCAACTTATCTACTAACAAAATGGTAGCATTACTAGCAAATGCATTTCTATTCCAGGAGTAGATAAAGTTCTCTGTCCAAATGGTAGTTGGCTGACCAAATTTGGAAGAGGCCCATAGCCAAAGAAGGACGATAACAAGCTAAAAAAGAAAAAGAAGAAGATTTCCCTGACGATGAATCGGTAAACGAAGAAGTATTGAATTGGCCTCCGCGTTCGCAGGATCTTAATCGTACTGGTTATTTGATATTTTTTGCTGTGTAGGGTCAATTTTTATTGAAGGGTATTCAAGAGTTCCAGATAATGATTATAAAAAATCAGATTTCTCAAATAATGGAATTTAATAATTGTTAATTTACTTACAAGTTTTACTGCAGATGAAAGAGATATCACACATATTATATAGATATCAATCAATGCCTACTTAACTTATTTTTGATTGTCAATGATATTGAATAAATTCTATACAGAGCGTGTATAGTTAAATATATTCCTATTGCGGTTGTTAACAAATTACTAATAACAATTAAATAGTTAGCTAAAATTTTAACTATACTTCCAGTATTTTGTATTTGAATGTATCTGAATTTCAATAGATTATTTCCAAAAATCGTATTATCATTATTTATATTTTCAAGTCTGGACACTCTGTAGATTTGTGAACCAGGTAAAATAACCCAGACAGGTCTCATGTAAAATCGATTTTTATCTCGACAAGAATCTGAATATCGGGCGAAAAGATCGCAAGAATTTCTCGTTGTCTAATGTCGATTTTTACGTATGTATTCGATAATTATTTTACCGATATAATTGCATACACAGAAATACGTGTACGCATGTTGGTGATCTGGATACTAAAGGAGCTTTCTTGCACAAAACAAAAAGTACCGGAATTGATTTTTACGCAAATTACCTATATGCTGATACAACAAAAATTTTTTGATGATTAAACAATCAAAGGCTATTTGTTAAGTAGGTACATGTGTTTGGTTTCATGACAACATATGTTACAAAGTCGTCTTTTTATCAAGATGTCAGGTGGAAAATATAAAGTAGCCATTATTGGAACTTCAAACTAAAGATCCTAAACAATGTAATTGACTTTGTGCTCTTATTCAAATTTGTGACGTTTATTTGAATTGTTCACACACAACGATGCGACATTGGCTAATTTGATAGGATACTTATATAATGCTCCTTTTTCTACTCTACAACTACCTATTGATTGCGGAAAAGAAACATGTTATAATAGTCTATATAATTCTTTTATCTGAAAATGTTTACAGCTATGGAATCTCTTTAGCACTTGTTCCATAAACGCCAAGAAGCATTCCAAACATTACTCATACCCATATACGTTACCAGGTCCCATTATTTTTGTTCGCAAGTATGATTTTTAATAATGACCCCTTCTAACCGTTTCTAAGATAGATTCTCACGGCGGAATGACACCTCGATACTTTTTTTTATTGTTCATTATAGTTTATTTCTGCTTTGAACAACTGTTGCTCTAATGATCTTTTTTCTTTTTCAAGCCGATTGAGAAGATGTATGATAATTTAAGTGATGTGAGAACGTATTAGGCAAGCTCCAAAGTTTAAATGCCGTTAGTGGGCTGGCGATTCTTTGAGGGAGGTCTTGGTATATTTGGTTACACAAAGGAAGCGGTTTATGCTTAATATACACATCATCAACATTACACAAAGCAAATTTGTTTTATTTTATGGTATCACACTTAATTGTAAATTTACTTCGTATAATGATTTTTCTTTTCAAAGTTCATTTACCTTATACCTCCATCATTAGTGGACGAGTAGGTATAATCAAACGACTTCTCTAAGTAAATCACAATCAACAAAGTCTCTCTCTGTATACAGAAAGAGGATTTTGCAAAAATAGAAAATTGCCAATTAATTCCCTTTCTCAGAAGTCAGTAATTACAAGGCATTTTTCCATTCGTCGACGTAATTTCGAAATAACTCATTTCACACACATAATACCGTGATAAATGATTCGTGCAAATTGAATCGTTCTTTCCTCGCAGGCAGGTGCGTATATTGTCATTTGTATATTATTTCTATATAGAATAATTATCAAATTTATATATTATATGCAATTCTAACACCCTGTATAAATACAAAAAAAATTTACTCTGGCACTTGTCGTGTTAATAAATCAAAACCGTTTCACGGTTATCGATAAAAACGCCGATCCTAAATCAAGTTAATGGCGGCCATTCTTCACCGATAAAGTCTTTATTTTTCCCTTGATCAATAGAGAAGAACCACGGACGCCTATAAATGCCAATAAATGTAAAAAAACCGTGTCTCCGATATATGGAATTAAGCCATAAAGACAATTATAAGAATTAATCACTGACGCTTTTTTAACAGTTTTATAACTTGTTTTTTTTTTTGTGCCTGATTTGTCGCGATGCCTCTATTGAATTCAACTATAGCGGATATCAACACTGATTTGCGATGGGAACGTGACGTAGTAATTAAAACATGCGAATATTAAGAAGAAAGGTTGAAGTATATTTATATTGACACATAAGCACAAAATTAATCATTCTTGAAGTCTTACATTAGCTTTGTTCCAACACGTCAAGAAACCGTACAATGTACCGTCACGATTCTGCGCAAAGCAGAAGAAGAGCTGCGTAGAACCGGAAAATCGTATACAGAGTGGTTTCGAAACCGTTCATAGGAAGGTTTTTGACGCGTTGGAACAAACCTATAGAATCTTCGTGGTTCTCAAAGTAGGTAGTCTTAGACCTGACTGCAGTCCTGTTGGAAAGTTTGCGTAGGGAGAATTGTTTTCCGGTAATGGTTAATAATAGGTGTGTTAGTAAGTGTTTTGAGTTTGGGTGGACTTCCACCACCTGGTACATTTTCCAAATATGGCGTTATCTAAGATGGTGGCACAAAGCTGCTCATATTTATGTCAATACATCATTGATTTCTATGAAATTTTCACTTTTTATTATCGAAGGTTCTTCGGGGAGGGGTAATTATTCCTCCTCCTAACCCCCCTTTTTCTCCAGCATCTAGAGAAATATTGAAAATACCAAGTAAAATAGGTATTATCGTTGTATTATTGATAGGAAACAAAATATTGTTGTCGGAATTACTTACCATTACTTTCCAAAGCTCATTTTTCCCCTCCCCTTAGGACCCTTTTAGCCCCAGAGCCTACTTACCCCCTCTTTTATCAGCAATTTTTTTTTGGGTGCCACGCCCGAAAACGTTAATTCCGAGTCTCAAAATGAACGATTTTGGGCGTTTCGAGCAAAAAAAAAAACTTGTTTGGCACATATTTGTTTTTTTATGAGTTGTTTAAATGATGAGTGATGATCAATATTGACAGATACTATCCTTAAATTAAGTAGGGCCTAAGTAGGTACGAAATCAAAAAATATACCTAACATCTACATAACATACCTACCTGCACTTAGGACCAATAAAGTTGGTTAAATTGTTGGCAAAGTATTCGCCAAGTGCTACTGGATCAAAAATGAAGATTTTCAATGACAGAACTAAAGGCGGCCGCCCGTAGATTTGGCCGCCCGCGTGCGAAGCACGCGCTTCACACCTGCTAGGAATAGCCCTAATTTGTAATCAAAGATCAAAGTGATAATAGTGTGATAAGTACGGAAAATGGCAGCGGAAAAATCAGGGCGGATGCGAAATGTTTTACTACCATATGAATAATGAGTACTACAAACAATACTGTCATAAGAAGTCCCTTATGAAGTATCAGAGAGAAAAGGACCTGTTAGAAAATGAAGATAACGACAGTATTTCCCAATCAACGGCACTGGAAAGTGATAAAAACTCTGAAAGGTACCGTGCTCGTCACTACAGTCCTCGAGGAACCGGTACTTTGAGTCGAAACCGTTCATGTATTTTATGTAACCAGAAATCACATAAGCGCATCTACGACAAGTATAAAATCAGTGAGACCCCAAGAGCTAAGGAATTTTTTTTTAAAAAAAGCCACGATATACTTCAAAGATGATGTTTTTACTCGCACTTGGTGATTTGGAAGATGAGTCAAGGGTTTTTGGTGCCGAGATATTCTGTCATGACAATTGTATTTCTGGGTATTTACTGACGAAAGTAACAAGAGCACACCTCAAGCTTCTGGAAGGGTGGCAGCGTTTTCTCGTAAAGCTAATGATATTAAAGCTGAACTAGATGAAGTTTATACGGATACACTCTCGGTTACATTCGAGAAAAATTTAATTTAGAAAATAAAGCCATATGAGTCAGTAACAAGGAACTGAAATTGATGTGTGATTACTTTGGAAATGAAAAAACGTTTGCAAAACCTAAAGGGGCAAACAAACCACTCATGTTTTATTATAGCAGCACTCAGAACGGAAGACGTAGCAGATGTTGTGACAAGTTGCAATCCTGTAATAAAATGTGCCTTTTTGTTGAAAGAAACACTGCAGAAGCTAGACTTTGGCCTCACCGATAAATTTGGTGATGCTCCAGATTTTCTTGGCTCTTGGAGTGAAAGTAGGACCTCATGTTTTCATACAATTTAGTAGATTATTTGATATAGATCCAAATTCCATGGAGGTGGACGATATTCAATGAAAAAAGGCACAATCGCTATTACAAATAATGTAAATGTACTACAACATGTATCGCAGTACATGCAAAATGTAAAAGCAAAACATTGATAACAAGCTTGAATCATGTAGGTGTAAGTGTCAGCTACAACGAAGTGATCCGTCACCATCATAATCGCTTGCACAATATGCTCTTAAGCAGGCTCCTCATGAAGTGCCGATTCCCAGTCATTCTAAGACTGATTTATTTACGATTGGAGCCATAGATAACTTTGACCATGAAGATTCTACCTTATCTGAATTAGGAGGCTCTCATGACACCGTGTATGTACTCTTTCAAGACAAACTACTGGATATACCAGTTAAACCACGCTTATCGAAGATTGGTGTCACACCATGTTTGAAAGCAATTCAAGAGCTTCTGCCGTGCCAAAAGGTACAATCTTATTTCAAAACAGCGGAACGTCCGGATCTTCCAAGCAATTACGTAGTAGTTGACTCAGATTTATTTGCAATGGACGAGGATGAAAAGAAGAAATACGAAAACTTAGACATATTATGGCATTTTTCAAGAATTGCACGAACTTTATTACACAGTTGTGATGTTGCTACAGAATACGCCCTTCCCACTCCAGAAGAAGACCTAGAACAGCTTGTGCCATCGTGGAGTGCTTTCAATGCACTTTGTTCGAAAGTAGATCTACAGCAGAAACAAGTTGATTTTTTATCAGTTATTCCGAACCCAGTTACTCAGCATGCGACTGTCTACACAGCTTTATTGAATTTTAATAGTACCTATATCAACTAAACCAAAACTACCTACCAGTAGCCTGTGACGAAGGTGTATATGCTATTACACGCGAAGTTTAGCTACACAATCCAGATATACGTTTTCAAATATTGTACTGTTGTTGGGAGCATTCCATATGGCAAAATACTAGGTTGCTTAGGTAAATATCTTCGTGGAAGTGAAATATCCAATGTCCTTATTGAATGCTCAGTGTTCGGAGTAAATGTGGTCGTCAGTTTTACATGGGAAGAATTATGTGAGAGGAGTGAAAGGAAGGCTTATGATGGGAGAAACCATGTTAAGGTTGCAGGTAAAGTCATTTTTGAAAGAACATTCCATTGAGTCTTACGCACCTGAATTTGAAAAATTAGGTACTTCACATCCATCAAAGTATTTTCAATTCTCCCCCCTACGAAAGTAGATTTTGTCATCTTGCATAGGCGAGCGAAAGCGAAAGTGAAACATGCTAGTAGCTACTTTCACTTTCGCTACTAGCATGTTTCACTTTCGCATGCCTATTCACGATTTTTGAAGGGGAAGAATGAAAATTTTAATACATTACACGCTGCACTGACATTATTTATTTATTATTATTTATAAAAGCCCTTTTAGGGGCTCGGAGGTATTCAAATAGCCTCGGCTGCGCTTCGCTTCGCCTCGGCTATTTGAATACACCTCGCACCTAAAAGTACGCTTTCGCAGCTTGAAATGTAAATAACTATTTCTGGCATGGCAGAAAAAAGCAAACCATATAGATGTAGATGTCAATACGGAAAAACTCCTCACAGACTTTGAGAAATTTATTGAATGTGGAAGGAAAACATCAGAGCAATTTTTATGCTGGGACAATTTTCTGAAACTACTTTAACTTCTTAGAAATTTGATTTGTTCCGATAGACAAGATCTCTGGGAACTGCCATCTAGATAAAGTACAAAACTTCAACCAGTATTTGTCGTCTTTGACTGTATCAACTATCAGCGATGATCTTCTTTATATTTGCAAGACATGAGAAGAATAGTCCAGACAGCCCCTGAGGTGCATCAAGTGTTTATGAAGGGAAAGCATGTTTTTAAACGGTATGACCATACATTTTCAGATGTTGCTGCGGATATGACGTTAGAACAAACCAATAATAGATCCCAAAAGAGATTCTCTGTCATTGTTAAGCTTACTAAACAGAAACAATTTGTAGTAGAATGGGAGATAACACATCATGAGCATTCGATGATATCGAATCTATTTCGAGGAATATTAGACTCCATTGCTTTTGTCGAAGGTTTAAACATCCACCATGAGTTTTCTGGAAAGCAAGCACAGAGCCATAGATGCATAGGTGACCTCAATATTTAAATATATTGCAGAAAAAGGTAACCCATTTCATATGCTATCTAATCGATTACACAATTTGGTAACAAAAGCACTGGTTTCACAAGATACAAAGGAAAAATTATCAAAAATATTTGAAATCTGTCACAAATTTTATTGCGCACTGCG